ATTTTTGTGCCACTAAAGGATTTTCACTTCAGATTAATGTGGTCAGATCCCCATTGTAGAAAAAACCCTGACAGCAGTATGGAGGCCGTATTGGGAGAAGGTCAGAGCAGGGGCTTAGGGGAGAGACTGCTCTAGTCCCGGTAAGTCAAAGGGAGGAGAAAGGAATTTATGAGTGGAGAATGGAGGAGTCACAGATTCTCCTCTGTGTCTCACTTAATGGTGATGCTGTCTTCATTTCCTAAAGCTGCTATGAAAAATTATACATCTGGTGGCTTAAAACAACAGAAGTTTGGAGCCAGCAGGTGGTGTGGTAGTTAAGGCTCTGGACACTCCCACGTGGCTGACCACCGTTCAAGTCTTGAACCAGGTGGCTTGTCACTTTCCTGCCAGGGACCTGCTTAGCAGAACACATTTTTCCGAGTTGGGGAAGGCAAGAGAATGGGGGAAGAGGAAATGGAATATAAAGCCAGTTGTTTTTGTATGTAAATTGTTTGAAGATGTGAAAATAACTGGCTCCATGTAATTTCTCTTATCTTTTTGGGGCAAAATCTGATAAACACTTGTAGTTTTTTTTAGCCTGATAGGGTCCTGCAGTATCGGGTATCACGTATCAGCAACAACAGGAAGATAACTAGTAACAACAGGCAGAAAGCACTTTCATATTAAATGCTCTCAATAGCCATTGCTAGAGTAGCTCACTGAAGCACATTTCCACATGCATCTAAAGGTCACATGTTTTCTCAGATTGCCGCTCTCTACACTCTCCCTCTCTGTCTGGACAAATGAAGATAAATGAATGAATAAATAAAATTAAAACAAATAACCACTTAAAAAAAAAAAAAAACCAGAAGTTTATTTTCTCCCACTTTTGGAGGCTAGAAGTCTGAATTTAGTATCACGGAGCCAAAATCAAGGAGTCATCAGCCTCCTCCCCCAGGCTCTAGGGCAGAATCTGGTTCTTGCCCCTTCCAGTTTCTGGTGGCTACCATCATCCCTTGGTTTATGACTGCATCATTCCAGTCCTTAAGGCCAGCATCTTCAAGCCCTTGCCTTCTCTGCTTCTCTTGGATAAGAATATTCATAGTTGTATTTAGGGCCCATCAAGATAGTCTGTGAGTAAGCGGGGAAATGAGTGTATGTGTCAGGGATAATCTCCCCATCTAAAGATCACTATTCATATCTACAAAGACCTTCGCCAAATAAAGTAACTTTCACAGTTTCCAAGGAACAGGACCTGAAATCCTGAGAGCCACTATTCAGCCTACCACATTCACTGAGGCCTTAATGCAGAAGGAGCAGGTGTGGGTTGGAAGATGACTAGTCCAAGATGACTCAGCAAATTAAGGAAAGGGACAGGACTGGACTCCATATCTTTGCCCCTTCTACAGTATCACAGTAACTTGGCAGGTGATCCCACAAGTGAACCATGGCTGAGTGTCACCTGAGACTCAAACTAGTCCAGCAACAACAGGACAAATGAGATATTTAACCACCTTTGAAGGAAGTCACTCAGAAGATGGTTTACGAGTATATTACAGATAGAACTAGCATCGTCTTTTTCTTTTTATAGGTTTTTGCCATCATAAGGCACATGATCTCACATCATCATTCCTCATGAGAGATGCTTTCTCTTCTCCCTCTCCCTCTCTCTAGCAAGTGCATGCACTCTAGAAAATAAATAAATAAACCATCAAACTCACCAGGGAGAGACAGTGAAGGGGAAAGTGAGAAATCACCCCCCAGGGGGAATGGCCATGCTGCAATCCCTTCTCCTCCATTCCCCTCTTGGGATTTTTGGGCATGCACATACATGTGCCCAGCATGATTTCCAAGCCACCAGGTCTGTGACTCAAACCGTGGTCAGCCATGTGGGAGTCCAGCACCTTAATGACCATTGCCACCTGCTGGTCCTTATATCTTATTTCTTTGAATCAATCAAATGATCACAAAGGATTCTGAAGGTTTACGCCTTGTAAAGAAAACTATGACTCACTATGACTCACATTGTAACTTGAATGTCTGAATCTCAGAATTGTTCAGGCAAATCTTCTGGCTGGAGACCTTTTTTTGTTTGCTTGTTTCATTTATTCATTCCTGAGAGAGAGGTACCGTTGTTGTCAACACTCTCACCACACTACAATTCTACCTCCAGCCTCCTACCTAGCCAGGAGCATGGGTGCATGTGGACATGTCTAGGTCAACCCCCAATCCACACTTGGGCCTCCCATATAGCTTCAGTATCACAGAGTGACACCCTACTGCCTATGCCACCATAGCTGGGCCTCCTGGCAGTCGTCATACTCTGTGGGACAGCAGAAAGTAATGATATATAATGATAGCCATAAGGTAGGCTAAACTGCTACAAACAAAAAACCAGTACCCCTGATACTCAATGAAAAGGCAACTGGGTTTGTACCACTTAAGAAAATTACTCTAAATCATGGCTCTTCTAGAGCTGGACCTCAGGACCAGCTATAGTGGTGCAGGCAGTAGAGTACCACTGTGATACTAGAGCCATATGGAAGTCCTGCATTCAGACCCTGGATAAACCTGAACACGCTGGGCATGCTGCAATCCTGGCTAGCTGGAAGGCTAGGAGGAGGACTGCAGCATAGCAAGATTTTGTCAAGGGCAACGCGTGTGCTCTATCTCAAATAAATATACTTCCAAAGGGCCTGCTTTTTTTTTTTGGCAGTAAAAGTGGCCTGGTGGTCAAGGCAGCCTGAACCGACATGGCCAACTTCACAGCTGAGTCTTGCACTCAGCAGATTGAGAAATACACCTTTTACTTTGGGTGTCTCAAATCCTGGAAGGACGGAGAAATAAAGGGATTATGGCATGATCACTCCTCATGAGAGATGCTTTCTCCTCTCCCTCTCCCTGTCTCTCTAGCAAGTGCATGCACTTTCTAGAGTGCATGCAATAAACCATCAAACAAATGAAAAATGAAAAAAAAAAAAAAAAAAAAAGATCCTGACTTCAGTTTCTTCCCCAGTTGTTGAGAATTACATGAATACCCCAACTTGGCTGATGTTTTCTCAACAAATGTACTCTTTTCTTGGGCAAGAAATAAATTATTCCATGTTTTAAGGACCAGAATCAAAGAAATTAAATAAATGACAAGGGAGGAAACTCTGCTTTTAAATATTAAGAATGGATTACATATTTTTGATATGACTTCTAAACTAGTTTATCAGTTAAATAATTCTCTACATTTATGATATGGACTATTCTTGCTACCAAAGTTAAAAGCCAATGGAAATGTTGTTCCTGCCAACTATTCTTACTTCAAAAGGAAAGTTCTTGGTGCTTTGATGTGAGCAACACATCATTTATCTTTCTGCACTTTACAGTTCATTCTTATCTAGGCTTTTTGATAAGCCTTAAATATACCTCCTGTCTCTAAAGCCTCGATGCAGATTTACTTTTTGGGTCAGGTGTAATTATAGATCTTAGACATCCAAGGTGTTATGTGAAATAAAAATAACCCACCTCTTGGGGCCTGTGGTGTGGTAGTTAAGGCACTGGACTCCCACATGGTCAACCACAGTTCAAGCCCTGAACCCAGTAGCTTAAAAAAAATCACATTGTAAAAATTTATGTAGGGGGCCAGCAGGTGGTGTGGTGGTTGAGAGTGCTGGGTTTCCACATGACTGACCACAGTTCAAGACCTGGTGGCTTGCTTTCTCACTTTCCTCTCTCTTGCTCTGTTCCTCTCTGGTCAAATTAAATAAGTAAAGCTAAAATTAAAAAATCTCTAGAAATAAAAAAAATTTATGTGGATGCCCAAAAATAACAAGAGGAGAATGGAGGAGAAAGGATCCTCCCACACCTTTCCCTTAGGTGATTTCTCATTTTCCTCTTGTTTCTCCCTGTCTTTCTCCCACAAGCGCACGTGCCAATGGCAACAACTTTCAAAATAATAACAATAATAACTCACCTCTTTTACATTTATAGTCTTGCAGAGGTTTGTGATAAGTACTTTTTCATAACCATCTTTTCTTCTGTGTGACTTCAAAAAGTCAAACACATCTAATTAACCATACCATGCCATAAAATATTTTGTTCAGAGAAATAAATTTTTTTAAAGATTTTTATCAGAGTAAATGAGGAACTTGGTTTCTATTCATAACCTACTTCAGGTATTTTTCAAGAATATGTTTTGCAACTCCAACTGTTAAAAGCGAGAAGTCGAGCTCTGCGTTTTAAAAAATAAACGTGCCAATAGTATTAAAGTGTCAGTTGTAAATAAAGAATAATCTGTTGTAAATATGACTCTTTTATGTGAAAAGTGGGAGACAGTAGGTGAGGTCATATATACACAGCAGCCAAGAAGTGTTACTTGATTCTATTAGCCTTTGCAGCGCTGTACATGGACAGGTTACTTTGGTGGCAGCTTGGAGCACAAACTTAAGAGGAAGACCGGGAGTAGATTAGTGGGCACGTAAATGCTCCACCTAGGAGATGAAGAGTGGAACACAGCACTGAGAGTTTGCATTAAGACAATGGAAACAATGGAACATATTCGTAAATATTTAGGAGGCAAAACTTGTATCTGAGTGAACAAGTAGGGAAAAGGTTTATCCCCTAACCTTGGCGTGCCTGGAGTGTCGCAGGTGGGGTGGGGGTGGCCGGTAATCAGTGACTACAGTTCCCATAGGCCTTGGGGGGCAGCGCTACTTGCATTTCCCAGAAGGCTGTGCGATACGTGCATTGGCCTGAGCGGACGTGAGCTTTAACATTGTTCTGTAACCAGATTTCCCATTCTTCCCTTATCTGTCCCTTTCCTCTGACTCCGGCTCCGTTGTGACGCTCCTGGGCCTCCGGGATCCAAATAGTCCCAAGACTTGCCTTCTTGACAACTCGACAGTACCGTTTTGGCGCCGTGCGACCAAACATAGCGTCTGTCTGGAGCCTTCTGGGTAATGTAGTTCGGCCTGCCCATGGCCACGAGTCGGGTCGAATTGCTGGGGCTCCTCGGACCTCAGAACTCTCTGTCAGATGGCGGGGATGCGAGGACAGGCTGTTCAGTAGCCGCCGAGGTGGGAAGGAGGATTCCGCGCATTCTGGCCACCGGTAGGCCCAGACCTCCAAGGCACCCGACACACCCGCCCGAACCCCGCCCCCCCCCCCCGCCTCTCAAGCGGCCGGTCTCTATGATAGCCGCTGAGACCTCTGGGATTTGTAGTTGGGCGGGAGTCGGGCCCGCGCCTGCAGTGCAGCGGCCGTTAGCGCTCGCGCTACCCGCTACTGCCAGTCAAAGACCCGCACCGCGGTCAGGGCGAGCTCTGGGATCCGTAGCCCAACCCGGATCACCCTCGGACAGCGAGGATTTCCTAGCGTTTCAGAGAACTTGTCCCACGTCATCTCACTCTCCGATGCAAGTTGGAGGCGAAAGAGGCCAGCTTCGGAACCGGCGATGAAAGGGCCGCCCAGGAGAGGCGGGGTCTCCGCGTCGCTCCGCCTCCGTGCCTGCCAGGACTCGTCCCCTCCTCACCTGGGCGTAGGTCTGCTTCCTACCAAGGCTCTCTGAGAATGTATTTAGTTGGAGTTTGGCTCAGAGTCACACTGTGGGTGTTCGTGATCGGAGGGAATCCACAGAATGAAGGCTTTTAAAATTATTATTCGTTTTTGCTATAGAAACTTGTGCTCCTTTCTCGCTGGAGAGAGACAGAGAGGGAAATTGAGAAATCACCCTCCAGGGGGATGACCATGCAGAAATCCATTCTCCTTTCGGCCTTTTGAGCAAAAATCTCAAAAAGCGCACGTGCCCAGCATGTTTTTCAAGCTACCAGGTTGGGGCTTCAGCCCCTTAGTAGGACATATTGGGTTTAATACGTTAACTACCATGCCACTGGCTTGTCCCAGGGCTTAGGTGTCCAGCTCTCTTCTGTTAGAGAAGGATGAACTCAGGCCAGAGCGCCAATGGTTTGCCCTAAATTGTGCATCCAGGGCAGTCGTCTGCACTGCCCTGCAGGCGCAGCCCGACTCCCGCCCAACTACAATTCCCATGCCTTTATTTTCAGCACAAAACACAGCCTGGTTCAGAACAGGCCTCAATCTTTCATGGGTTGTCATTTCACTCTAAGGATAAAGAGCTGAGATACTTCAGCCAAGTTACAAGATTTTTTTAACACTTTAAAAAATAATTATTTAATTTTATTTATCGATTCATTTATTTTTTAATTTGACCAGAGAGAGACAGAAAGAGAGGGGGAAAGGGAGAAAGCAAGCCACCAGGTCTGGGACTCAAACCGTGGTCAGCCATGTGGGAATGTCCAGCGGGTTAACCACCACACCACCTGCTGGTCCCTTTTTAAACATTTTTAGATAGAAGTAGACCTATAGATGAAAAGACAGGCAAATATATTTATTCCGATCATAATTCCAATAACTAACAGATTTGTTTTAAATGAAGGACATGTGAATGAACACTGGTTGGAGTACTATTGTTTAAATTTCTTAATAAGAAATGCTTTTGGGAGGGCAGCTGATAGTTTGGAGGTTAAGGCGGCTGGATCCCACATGGCCAACTAAATGGTTTGAATCCCAGACCTGGCACCTTAAAAAACATGCCAGGTGTGTGTGCATACATGCCCCAAATCCTGATAGGAACTAGAAGAGAAAGGATTACAGTGTGGCCATTCCCCTGGCGGGTTGCTTTCTCACTTTCTCTCTCTCTCTCTCTCCTCTTTCTCTATTTCCAGGGAGTCTATGCACCCTATATCAAAATCTTTTAGGTTATACTTTAAAAAGGAAAAAAAAAATCCTTAGAAATACTGCAGATTGTATGGGTGGAATATCTGATACTTGCTTCAGAAATAGCCAGTGTGATTGGGGAGGAGGAGAAGGGCAATGAAAGGAAATTGGTCAGGTACATTGTTGGAGCTGGCTATGGTACAGGGGATCACTAAAACTATTTTCTTTACTATTATGTAGGTTCAAATTATTTTAAAGTGTAATTTTAATCTTTACCTGCTAGAAATATATACTGAGTTGTTTGTCGGGGGGAAAAAACAGAAAAGCATGATGTCTGATTTTTTTTTCTTAATAACACACACACACACACACAAATTATGGGGCATAAAACAAACAAGAATGGCAGAAGTAGACCATTACTGAAGCCGAGTGGTGGAGATTGGAGAATTCAGTATATTATTACATTCTCTCTAGTGGAATTGAGGATTTCCATGATCAGGAGTTTTTTAATTTTAAAAAAATGTATTTTATTATACCAAATGTCCAAACTCTGTGGCAGAAGCTGAAGGACTGCTTGGCGGAGAAGTAGAGAGTAACGTTGGATACCAGAAGCTGCATGGTAATGGGGTCAGGGACCGGCAGGTTTCGGGAGGAAATGATTAACAGGCATAAGAATACATGTGAACAAGCAGAGTAAGTTATGGAATGGTGTAACACAGCAGCGTGAAAAATGTCAGCAGCTCAGTATATAATCCCCCCTCCAAAAGAAAACCTAGTATAACTATCATTGAATGTGCACAACATAATGTAATGTCTAATGCACATAAATAAATGCACCAACACCCTTGATTTAATTACTATGCACTGAGTACATGCTTTGAAAAGCCATACTATACCCATGTATGATTACATATAAACCAAAGATCACAATTTTAAAAAAATAATAAGTGTATTTTATGTGTTTCAGGAACTTTACAAGGAAAAACGGAACTCATAAGGAATTTCTCTGAAATGTAACCCTCCCTTGGCAAGAGTGAGCCTCCGTGGGGACATCTCTAGGGAAGAGTGACTGCAGCAATGAGAGGGGTATGTCAGTGGCCCCCCAGGTCTCTTGGAAGCAGGACAGAATTGTGATGGTGAAGGTGGAGAAAGAGGACTGTTAGTGGGAGAAAGAGGCCTGCTGACCAGGAATCGCCCACCCAGCCGGCTGCAGTCCATCAGCACTTCAGCCAGTCATACAGCAGGTGGCTCTGTCCCAGGAGTTTGCTCTGCCACAGAAGCTGGAGCTGGGGAGGCAGAGCAAGGAGCCCATTATGGAGCTAATGGCACTGGAGCAGTTCTGACCACTCTGCCCAAGGAGCAAGCATGCCTGGAGCTGGGAGCACCCCTGGGCAGAGGAAGGGGTGAAATTTGTCTGCAGGTGGGAAAGAAAAACTTCATGAATGAAGCAAGACAGCAGGTAAGAGAAGGGAGAACTGATTTGTGAAACAAGGTTGGCCCTCCAAAGAAAACTAACTCCAACCCAAGTTGGGCCCAACACAGCCTGTTCCTCTTAGATCTTCTCTTTTAGTTTTGGGGTATAAATTAGATATTGGATAATTCCCTAGGGGTTCTCCACCTTGGGTTTCATTCTTACATAGAAAATACGTTTTTTTTCTTCTTTTTTGGGAGGGGCAGAGGTTTTTGCTATAGGGTGCGTGTTCTCGCCAGAAAGACAGAGAGACAGAAAGCTAGAAATCACCCCTCAGGGGCGATGGCCACACAGCAATCCCTTCTCCTCCATTCTACTTGTGCATGCATGCACATGTGCCCAGTGTGAGTAGAAGCCACTGGGTCCGGGACTCGAACTGCAGTTGACTCCATGTGAGTCCAGCGACATAGCCATTACACCATCTGCTGGTCCTGTAGAAAATACTTTTTAAAAAAAATCATTATTTAAGCCGTTTTGTTTTAAACATTCATATGTGTAAGCTACACAGGTGACATTCTTTCCTTATTACCAAAGGGTACATGCACATGCCAGAGAGAGAGGGAGAGAGGAAGAGAGAGAGCACCTTTCAGTAGGGCATGGTCACACAGTCCTTTTTCCTTTATCCCTCTATCCTGTCAGGATTTGGGGCATGCAGCTTATTTTCCAAGCTGCCAAGATCAAGACTTGACCTGTGGTCAGACATGTGGGATCTGGCTCCCGTAACCACTGTACTATGGGACCAACCCAAACCACTCCATTTTTTAACTATTCTCTATAGAAACAAAAGCACAGATTTTCTTTTCTCCATAACAATTAAGTGCAGGTTTCATATTTCTCTCTGAGTTCCACATTCCTGGAGCTCCTTATCCATTACCTGTTTTTAAAAATGTATTTATTTATTTCTTCCATGGGCAAAAATAGGGTCTCAGTGTCACAATCTACCCCACATCTGAACCAGCCCTGGGTCTGAGCTGAAACCGAGTGTGAACAGCAGACTAACATAAAGCCTCCAGACCCCATAGAGAGTGAAAACCCTCTGCTCAGTTGTCCCACGGGTGCCTCAGCCACAGCTGTGTGGCCTTCATTCCCTGTGCACAATGTCAGTTTTTTGTTTGGTTTTTATTTACAGTGTGGTAGCTTTTTAGCCAAGCCATGCCCCATGGCATGGTTCAAGACCTTCGTGGATGATGACATCATCTCTCTCCCTGTTAAACCCTTTACTCGGGATTTGAAGAGAGCCCTGTCAGATATCAAGCCACTTTGGGGGTTTGTGGAACAGGGGCTCTCCAGGGAAAGGCAGGGGGCTTGAGAGTCAAAAGGACAGACCGACAAGGCGTCTGTTCCAACCCAAGATTGGGAGGGAGAGGGAGAGGGCTATGCTTCTGTGTCTTCCTCAGGAATCATTGCATTGCTGTTTCTGTTTGCTGGGAATTCTCAGGGCTCAGTATCTTCCTCCATAATGGGACCATAAACACTCATTACTAAGCCAAATAAACACTCGGTGGGTTTCTGTTTTATATTAGCAGTCCCCGCTGATCCTTGCATGAGATGGGGAACCAAGATTTGACTCCATGAATCTGGACCTTTCTATGTAGGCCTGCATCAGGGGGCCATCACACTCCTCTCTGGACTGTGCTTGGACACCAAACTACCACACCAAAATAATCGACACATGGGACAACTTAAGTCTCTGTGGCTGCTGGAGTCCACATGACATGCAAGTGGGGAGGTTAGAGGTGGATGGCAACCTGGTGCCCACAGAATGGAGGGATAGGTTGTCAAAGCATTCAAATGCTTCTGGGCTGGTCAGTAAGCAGTTGCTGCTCTGTGCCCGGAGTGCCCGGCCAGCCCCCTTGGCCACCCCTCAGGACCATTTCAAGGGCCAGCATCTGACGGTTATCCCCTACTCACCACAGGAGGTCTCTGAGCCCTTGCTCTGACCATGAGACCAACATGTTCTATTGGTCAGCGTTTGGGCCCTGCCAATTGTTAAAGGCCTTTGATATCCTTGACCGCAAGCCCTCACTGCCCATATGCATACCACAGTGAAATGAGCCCCAGAACCAACTGCATTCAGGTCCAGGCTCCACCATGGACCAGCTGTGCAGTCTTGAACCTTGGGGAAGTCCTTTAGTTTTACTGAGCCTCAGTTTTCTCATCTATAAGCATCAGATAAAATAAGAGATGAAAAAGTACTTTGTAAACTGTAAAAGGTTAACATAGACAAGTTGTTTTTTCCATTATTTATGTGTATGGGTTCCTGGACCATGGCCTCAACCCAGCTTTCGAAATCACCCCTCAGGGGCGATGGCCACACAGCAATCCCTTCTCCTCCATTCTACTTGTGCATGCATGCACATGTGCCCAGTGTGAGTAGAAGCCACTGGGTCCGGGACTCGAACTGCAGTTGACTCCATGTGAGTCCAGCGACATAGCCATTACACCATCTGCTGGTCCTGTAGAAAATACTTTTAAAAAAAGATCATTATTTAAGCCATTTTGTTTTAAACATTCATATGTGTAAGCTACACAGGTGACATTCTTTCCTTATTACCAAAGGGTACATGCACATGCCAGAGAGAGAGGGAGAGAGGAAGAGAGAGAGCACCTTTCAGTAGGGCATGGTCACACAGTCCTTTTTCCTTTATCCCTCTATCCTGTCAGGATTTGGGGCATGCAGCTTATTTTCCAAGCTGCCAAGATCAAGACTTGACCTGTGGTCAGACATGTGGGATCTGGCTCCCGTAACCACTGTACTATGGGACCAACCCAAACCACTCCATTTTTTAACTATTCTCTATAGAAACAAAAGCACAGATTTTCTTTTCTCCATAACAATTAAGTGCAGGTTTCATATTTCTCTCTGAGTTCCACATTCCTGGAGCTCCTTATCCATTACCTGTTTTTAAAAATGTATTTATTTATTTCTTCCATGGGCAAAAATAGGGTCTCAGTGTCACAATCTACCCCACATCTGAACCAGCCCTGGGTCTGAGCTGAAACCGAGTGTGAACAGCAGACTAACATAAAGCCTCCAGACCCCATAGAGAGTGAAAACCCTCTGCTCAGTTGTCCCACGGGTGCCTCAGCCACAGCTGTGTGGCCTTCATTCCCTGTGCACAATGTCAGTTTTTTGTTTGGTTTTTATTTACAGTGTGGTAGCTTTTTAGCCAAGCCATGCCCCATGGCATGGTTCAAGACCTTCGTGGATGATGACATCATCTCTCTCCCTGTTAAACCCTTTACTCGGGATTTGAAGAGAGCCCTGTCAGATATCAAGCCACTTTGGGGGTTTGTGGAACAGGGGCTCTCCAGGGAAAGGCAGGGGGCTTGAGAGTCAAAAGGACAGACCGACAAGGCGTCTGTTCCAACCCAAGATTGGGAGGGAGAGGGAGAGGGCTATGCTTCTGTGTCTTCCTCAGGAATCATTGCATTGCTGTTTCTGTTTGCTGGGAATTCTCAGGGCTCAGTATCTTCCTCCATAATGGGACCATAAACACTCATTACTAAGCCAAATAAACACTCGGTGGGTTTCTGTTTTATATTAGCAGTCCCCGCTGATCCTTGCATGAGATGGGGAACCAAGATTTGACTCCATGAATCTGGACCTTTCTATGTAGGCCTGCATCAGGGGGCCATCACACTCCTCTCTGGACTGTGCTTGGACACCAAACTACCACACCAAAATAATTGACACATGGGACAACTTAAGTCTCTGTGGCTGCTGGAGTCCACATGACATGCAAGTGGGGAGGTTAGAGGTGGATGGCAACCTGGTGCCCACAGAATGGAGGGATAGGTTGTCAAAGCATTCAAATGCTTCTGGGCTGGTCAGTAAGCAGTTGCTGCTCTGTGCCCGGAGTGCCCGGCCAGCCCCCTTGGCCACCCCTCAGGACCATTTCAAGGGCCAGCATCTGACGGTTATCCCCTACTCACCACAGGAGGTCTCTGAGCCCTTGCTCTGACCATGAGACCAACATGTTCTATTGGTCAGCGTTTGGGCCCTGCCAATTGTTAAAGGCCTTTGATATCCTTGACCGCAAGCCCTCACTGCCCATATGCATACCACAGTGAAACGAGCCCCAGAACCAACTGCATTCAGGTCCAGGCTCCACCATGGACCAGCTGTGCAGTCTTGAACCTTGGGGAAGTCCTTTAGTTTTACTGAGCCTCAGTTTTCTCATCTATAAGCATCAGATAAAATAAGAGATGAAAAAGTACTTTGTAAACTGTAAAAGGTTAACATAGACAAGTTGTTTTTTCCATTATTATTTATGTGTATGGGTTCCTGGACCATGGCCTCAACCCAGCTTTCCTCCCTCTCCTCCCCTCACTCCTCCTTTACCCATTCTGCAGGTCCCTCAGGTCTCCGTCCACTGCTGCAGGAAGGGTGCCTGCAGGCTCTGTGGCTGGCTCCCAACCCGCCCTCCAGCTGCCATCCCTGCCTCTACCCAGTGGGGATGCGCAGACTCCACCTATTGGAGGTCACTAACCTTTGCCCCTTTGGGCAGATCCCTTAGCCGCCTACTGACCACACCTTCCTCCTGTGTGACCAGGAGAGCTCAAATTATTCTTCCCAAACTCCTCACACTTTCCCTCCTGTTTCCCCACCTGCTGCCGCCATACCCCGCTCTTTCCTTGTTCTTTCCCCAGATTACACAATGATTTGAGGCCCAGCCGTGGCGATGCAGGTGGTAGGTAGGGTGCCACTGCACGATAGCGGAGCCATGTTGGGAAGGCCCTGTATTCAGACCCCTGGTTGACCTGAGCAGGCCAGCTGCACCCTTGACACTGGCTGGCTGGAGGATAGGGGGTGGGGTACAGTGGGGGAAATTGCAATGTGGTGAGACCCTGTCAGGGATGCTTCTCTGTCTCTCTCTCACAGGAAATAAATAAACAAGCTTAATAATAGTAATTTGAAGGCTTTTCCTTATTATAAAATTAATATATATATTCACTATAGAACATTTAGAAAATACAAATATGCC